GCTCCGCATCGGCGCCCGCGCCCCGCCAGGCCCGCGTTTGCGCGCGAAGCTCGTCGGCCACCGCCAGCTGCGCCAAGTGCGGCCTCTCGGGGTGGTAGAACTTGCACTTGACGCCGTAGGTGCATTTCTTGCCTGCGAGGGAAGGGGCAAGGGGGAGAGGGCGGGTGAGACCTCGGGTAGGAGAGGCTGTGTGGGGGTGGTGGTCGGCGCCCGGCCCTTCTCCTTGGAGACTCCTCGGGCCCCCTTCAGGAGTCTCACGATTGGGGCTGGACGAGGAGGGGAGGAGGGGAGAAAGTGTCCTGGGGCCGGATTAGATGGGTGAGGGTGCAGTACCCACGCCCTTGGTGTAGGGCGCTGGACCCAGTAATCTCAGTGCCAGGCCGGGAGATTGTCCGTATGGGAACTCCTTTCGACCAGGGACTGAAAGCAAACCTCTAGATCCAATGACCTTCGGCCTCCACTTCCCCAGGGAACCCTGTGGATGGGGCCACCCTTGTGGAGAGGGTGCGGAGCGGGTGCGCCCCGCACAGGATTGCACGTCCAGTCTGCCTCAGTTTCCACCGTGGGCCTCATCGCCTGTGCTGATCATTGCCCTCCCCAACAGGCTGTTCTAACAGAAGTGATCAAGCAGTTTATCGCCCAGACCTGGACACTTCTGAGAGGGCATGGGAGCAAGGTGAACCAACGTGAATGTGTGTGTGGTCACCTTAACTCGAACAAGAAATGACTTTGAATGTGACTTTGAACTTCCCTGGACACGAAAAACAAGCCCTGGCGGCATTAAACGAACAAATGAACTTGCCATAGCAAGTTAGCGAAAGAGCTGGCTAGAAGTGCTCTGGGATAAAAAGCCTTAATTCTTAATGGATAGCATTGACGAAGGCCATGAAGGTCCAGGGGTGGAGGGCTGGTGGAGGCTGGAGGGAGGGGTGGAGGGATGCAGAGAGACGTGGCAGAGTGCAAGGGGGAGGGACTGAGAAGGAGGAGCTTGGGGGTACACACGGATACAGCTTTGCCCTGTGTGGGACCCCTGCATCCGGCCCTCACAGACACTCCCATGCAACAGTCACCCAGGATGTCAGTTCATCCTTATAACAGCCTTGTCAGCAAGTGCCATCCAGAGAGGTTAAACGATCTCTCCGATGTCACGCAGCCAGTTAGGAGCAGAACCCAGGCAAGAACCCAGGCTGCTGACGAGCAGGCCAGCACTTCTGACTGCGCCCTGTCCCGCCCTCACACGACACCTGAACCGGGATCGCGAGGCATGGGGGTGCCACCCACCGTACGGACAGTGCTGCCAGGATGGCTCTGGGGGCTTGGGCTTCCTGCTCAGGAAGTTGCTCAGGGTGGGTCCCCGGCGGCCCAAGGGGTCATCGGGAGGCATGAACCTGTAAAACAAGCACAGGGGGGCAACTGCTAGACCCACAGAAACTCACCACCAGCACCTGCATGGGGAGCAGGCCCCAGCCAGCCGGATGAGAGAATGGGCGCAAGCAGGCACGGCTGGCCTCGGGCGGGGCTCACCATCCAGGGCTCTCCCCAACCCCCCCGCCCCCCACCCGACCCGGGGCCGTGTAGCATTTGAAAGCAGCACAGCCCTCCCTTCTCACTGAACCCATGAGCGGAGAGCACGGCTCTCGGGAGAGCAGCCTCGGGCCTCTCCCGAGAGTGTGTCCAGCAAGGGCCGCAATCACCCGGCAACGCCTTTAAAACTGCAGGCTCCTGGCTTTGCACCAGACCTGCTTCATCAGACTCTCAGGTGGTTCAGGAATCTGCGTTTTAACAACTTCCCAGGTGATTTTTATGCACTGAAATTGAAGTGTAATCCCTCTAGGGTTCCCCTGGGCCCCGGGTCCGAAAGTGACCCTGTGCTGCTTTCTCACTGTCCAGACCTCCCCGGGGCTGCAAAACAGCCCTCGTCCTGCGGGCTCCCTTACTCGGATCTCCTGTGTTGCCCCACAGCTCTGGACATATACAGGTGGGGGATAAATATTAATACGGTTTGAAATGCCAGCCAGTGAGCCGGTGAAGAAGCAGGTGTAGCCGGCACACAGAGCCTCAGTGCAGGTCCTTTTGGAACCCCGGGGAGCTCTGGGTTTGGTCTCAGCTTCCGGGGCTGCCTGACCCCGGCCCCGTTCTCTGATACCCTCCTGCCCCCCGTCTGCCCCTTCCCATCTCCCTGGAATTAAGCCTCACAAGGAAGGGAATGCATCCTCAGTGTGCCCACAGCTCAGAGGGGAACACAACCCTTGGGAGGAAAACGCCCTTCATTTAGGGCCATCCATTTTTTTATGTGAATACTTTCGTTCCCAGGAGGCATTTCCAGGTCATACAAAGGTTCCGCTAGAGGGGTTGTGGTTCCTAAGTGGGGGTTGGTGTCCCTCTGAGAGTCAAGGGTCATACTGAGTCCCACCATGCAGACCACATACCCTAGGCCAGCCCAGAACTGGGCAATCGCTGGTGCCAGGCAGCCTCCGTGGCTCAGATCCCAGCTACACAGCCGGCTTCTCAGAATTGGGCCCTGACCAAGAATCTGGGGAGCCGCCCACTGCGGTTATTAGAGGTTCCCAAAGGCTTTACCTCCTGCTCTCTGCTAGGCCTTGGCCGCGGCGAGCTGGGCCAAGAGGGCCCTATGGACGTGCCCAGGGCACTGGGGCAGGCGTCCCCACCCACAGGCAGGCAGGGAGGCTCTGCCTTCTGGCAGCTGGGGGAACTTCTGGCAGGCCCTTAGGAGAGGCCGGTGCGTCAAAAGGACTTGGCCTTGGCCCCAGGCTGTGGCCAGGCCAAAGGCAGCCATGATCCATCAGACTTCAGTGAGGATTTGCTGGAACCGACAGTCGCCAGACTTTCCAGATTTCTCCAGGCCTGAGCTGGATAGAGGGAGCTGCTGGCCTTGAGTGTATGGAAATGGCCATGGGGGCTCCTGGGGCCGGGGAGCAGGTAGCTGGCTGCTTGCAAGCCTCTGCTCTGGGGCTTGGGAGGGTAGTAGTAGGGGCACAGTGCCCTCTAGAGGCACCATGTCCTGGCCTGGCCTGAAAGTAAGTGCTATTCTTAGGTACAGTTAGGTACTCTTTGGGGTACAGTTCTCCCTAGTCCTCAAAACCATCTCAAACATATGATTAATCCAGGTATGGTTAATTCAAGGTGAGGGACATTTAGCTCAGTGACAGGGATTTCCCCCATGACACACAGCCCGTAAATGACGGAGCCTCCACTGGAAACCTCATCTGCTGCCTCCAAATCTCTAGCTCTTTCCAGAACACCACACTGCCTCCTGGGCTTCAAGGTCAGGAACGGGCCTGCCGCGCGCAAGTGGCCTGACCCAGCCGACCTGTCACCTCTCTCCCTTCCCCAGGACCGCAGCCATTCGCTTTACTGATTCACTCACTCACTCACTTGCCACCTACAACTAGTTCTTGAGTGCCTGTGATGGGCCATGGCAGACAAGGCACATACAGCCCCTGTCTTCACAGAGTTGGGAGTTTCTCTTAAACCATGTTTCTAAAGGCCAGTCCAAGAGCCCAGAATGAGGGTCAAGCTGTCACTGCCTGGAACAGAAAGCGAAGTGAGAGTGATATCCCAGCGTCCTGTACCTTCTGCACCCTGCCTCCCCACCCCACCCCCGCTAGTCTCAGACCCATGGCCACCTTGCCAGACCCCTAGCCTTTGCCCTCAGCGTGCCTGACGACATCCGCACTGCTCCCTCCCCACCTTAGCTCTGTCCAGGGGCCCTTGCCCAGCACCTGCTAACAGGTTTGTGCCTTGTGTCCATGACATTGCCCTCCCCCAGCTAGAGCTGGTTGGTTCAGGGTGGACCTGACCCAGGGGAACCAACCTAGGGGACAGAAGGACCAACTCGACGCTCTTGAAAATTGCAACCAACAACAGGTATTGCGATGCACTCAGTTCCAAGTTCTTCTCAACCCCCCCAAAAAAGATGACTCCCGTATGTAATTCAAAACTTTAAAAAAAGGACGTGAACATAAAACAAGTGAAGGGAAGTGCAACAAAGTTCCGATTTTCCCCAGGATGGCTGTTTCAGTGCTCTTACCTGTAGTAAATGCTTTAAAAGTAAAAGCAACAAGGGGCACCTGGGTGGCTCTTGATTCCAGCTCAGGTCATGATCTCACGGTTCGTGAGTTCGAGCCTCTCATCGGGCTCTGTGCTGACAGTGTGGAGCCTGCTTGGGATTCTCTGTATCTCTCTCTCTCTCTCTCTCTCTCTCTCTCTCTCTCTCTTTCTGCCCTTCCCCCCCATGTGCACCCTCTCAAAAATAAGCAAACATTTAAAATAATAAATAAATAAATAAAAGCAACAAGTTGATGGTGCCCCAAGCTCGAGCTTGGCCCACCTGTGGGGCAATTCTTTGCCAGGTCAACCACATGTGGGCATGGGAACAGAAAGGTCATGGACAATTGGGACAAAACAGCCCTGCTGAGGAATCGTGATCGCGATGGAGAGGAGACCCAGAGGGACTGAGAGAGCCTCTACGGACCCCGGGGGAGAGGGCAGGTGACTTCCAGTGGGCTCTGTCTCCAGGACCGGGTGTCCTTTGCTTTGGTATGGTGTGCCCATGACGGCAAGCCCCGCTGGGCTTAGGCTATTTGGACTGGCTTTCTGCCAGTCACCCCAGCCCCCCGCCATGCCAGGACCCCCTGTGCCACCACGTACCGATCGTTGACAAAGGAGAACATGAGCAGCCTCTGCTCGATGAACCACTTCCACTCGGGGTTCTCGCTCTGGAGGTCGCGGTAGTTGTCGTTGGAGACGATGACACCATCCTGCTCGTAGGCCACCTTCACAATGTAGCGGTCGTCGTAGCAGACCACCCGCTTGCCGTTCACCTTGCGGGACGGGGTATACACGAGCACCGCCTGCCTCTCCAGCTCCTCCAGCACGTGCTGCTCTGGGGGCCACAGGGCGGGCGGGAGACAGGATGTGGCGGCTTTCTGGGTGGGACCCCCACCCCCAAAACCATTCTCAGATCGCCCAGCATGTGGGGCAGCTCAGGGATCCTCTCTGAGCCAACTCCTCCTCCCCTACCCCATGGCCCAGCCTGGCACATGAGCAGGGAGGTCAAGAGAAATTTGCCAGCAGCTTGGGGTCAACAGGGCTCTTGGCTTCGGTCCCGAGAATGATACCCTACGAGGGGGAGTCACTTTAGAAAGGAGAGCAAAGCCATAGCTCTTGTCCTTTTGAGGGTCACATGCCATAATACCCCTACCACAGCAGACACGAGAGGCCTTCTGGAGAAAGACATTCGTAGTTTAACTGGAATCCTGGCAAAGCCTTAGAAGTTACCAGGAGACTTGCATCCACCTGGAAGGCTCCTGCCTGAGCCCGTAGCTCAGAGCCACTGTCCATCTTCCCCCATGGTACAGGAATCTGCTTGGGACACCCTTAGGACAGAGCACACTGTAACACAGCTCTGAGGGACACAAGGATGTACTAGGGAGAGTCTGGGATTCAGACCCTACGCCTGGGTTCCGGTCTCAGCTGTGGCTCCTCCCTCTCTGAACACCAGATTTTGCAACTAGTATAAAATGAGGTTAACAATTCCTCCTTCTGTCTCAGTGTCTGTGAGTAGACTGGATAAGCTGGCGTGGGCGACAGCTTAGTATGCGGACTGGTGAGGAGGTGAACACCTGATACGCCACAAGGTCTCTTACAGGAGCTAAAACCCACATTCCCGGGAAGTCTACTCTTTGATCCTAGTTTTGCCTTTGGAGGCAGGCGAAAGAAAATCCCTTCTACTGTAACAGTTACTCAGAACTTGGAAGAACTTTAGCATATTCTTCACTAACTGTCTCTTCCCTCAAATCTACATCCTTTCCTATATGACTTTTTGAAAGTCCACAATGCACATAAGGGCACCAAGGATAACTTTTAAAGCCACCTACGCAGCACTCCCATAGAGAACTACAACGTGGCCATGCTTTTGAGGTCCCTGGCGCCCCTCCCACTTTGCATATCTGCTGCCCCTTTGACGTAGCCCAATTTTTAGACTTCATGTTTACAGTTCCCTTCCTTTCGTTTTTGTTTTTTTTTTTTAATTTAATGTTTTATTTAGTTTTGAGAGAGAAAGAGAGAGACAGAGCATGAGCAGGAGAGGGACAGAGCACAAGTTGGGGGAGGGACAGAGAGAGAGGGAGACACAGAATCCGAAGCAGGCTCCAGGCTCCGAGCTGTCAGCACAGAGCCCGATGCGGGGCTTGAACCCACCGACTGCGAGGTTATGACCTGAGCTGAAGTCGGACACTTAACCAACTGAGCCACCCAGGCGCCCCTCCTTTCATTTTTAAAAATACGTATGTATGCATCGTCCCAAAAGGACTATTTTTCACGCGATTAGGAACCTCTAGACTTCACACACGTGGAATCGTACTGTGCATATTCTTGCGCGCTTACTTTCTTCCTGTAACATCGTGTTGGAGAGGTTCGGCCACGTCCCTGTGTTCCCCACTGTCAGTTCTGCGCGTCAGTCTCCGGGGACAGGAGTACAAGGACTTCTCTAGGGAGTAACTCTAAGAGTGATATTGCTGAGTGGTAGGGAAAGGCACTTTCCAAGACAGTGCTGGATTGTTCTCCAAAGCAGTTCTATCAGCTGACTACCCAACACAGCATTCAAGAAGACCGTGTCAGGGCTTGGCTTTTCAGGTTTCTGAAATTTTGCCAATCTGGTGGGTGTACAGTGCCCTCTTATTGTGGTTTTCTTTTGCATTTCTTTGGGCACTAATGAGATTGAGCGTCTTTTCATACGTTTATTGGCCATTTATGTCTTCTCTTCTGTGAAAGGCCCATTCATGCTTTAGTTCATCTTTCTGTTGGCCCTTTGTCTTTGTCTTATTAATTTGGAGAAGCTCTCTATAGATTCTGGACAGTAATCCTTCATCAGGAATGTGTGATCGCCTCTCCCAGTTTAAGGCTTGTCTTTTCATTTTTTGGTTTTTGTGGTATCCACTAATGAACAGAAGCTTTTATTTTAATGCAGTCAAATTTATGAATCTTTCCCCTGAAGCTTTGCACTTGTTGTGACTTGTTTTAAAATTCCTTCCCTACCCCAAAGTGATTTCCCTACCCTTTACCCATACTATATTTTTTTAAATTTTTTTTTTACCGTTTATTTATTTTTGAGACAGAGAGAGACAGAGCATGAACGGGGGAGGGGCAGAGAGAGAGGGAGACACAGAATCGGAAGCAGGCTCCAGGCTCTGAGCCATCAGCCCAGAGCCCGACGCAGGGCTCGAACTCACGGACCGTGAGATCGTGACCTGAGCTGAAGTCAGATGCCCAACCGACTGAGCCACCCAGGCGCCCCTACCCATACTATAGTTAAATATTACACAACTGTTGAGAGCCGCCATTCTCCATGTTCAGACTGTAAAGAATAATTTAGAGTAAGCAGTTCATGGTGGAGAACTGAACACAAGTATTTATCCCTGCCTCCCTCTCATAATCCTATTGAAATGGCAGTAGAGAAGTACGAAACGGGGAGGGGATCCATAATCACATTAGACCACATGGGCCAGGGAACAGCAGCAAACCCAGGAAACCATACTGATCCCCCGGCACGTAGGGAGCCAGAGCCCAGAACGTGGGTAGAAGGCTGAAGTGGATGTGAGGCCATCCTTCCTGCAAAGGCCCAGAGTGTTCAGCGGGCCTGTGGGGAGGAAGTGGGAAGTCTGCGGAAGTCAGGGTTAACTACCTGAAGGGCTACTCCTGGGGCAGGTGCATCTACCCTTTCCCTACCCTTACTGCTATAAGGAAAGTGAGATATCACTAGGAAGGAGGAGGTTCCCACGTGGCCTTTGACCTCCTGGAGTGAAGCCATCATGGGGCACTTTGCACTGTGCACCTGCCTGCCCCACGCAGGGTCTGCCCAAGTGAAATCTGCCAGTCTACACTGACAGTCAGTCAGCCCTGCCACTCGGGGAGAGATCCACGTACTAGGAGAGAAGATGCAAGGAAATCACATAGAGGTGTATCTAACCGATCTGGCTCTTTGTTTGCAAATCAAAACTGATGACCAAACAAGTACTAGACCTTTGAGAAGACTTAACAGCACCCCCACACACACACACCCACACACACTCACACACACTCATACACACACACACGCAAACACACCCCCAAACTCCCACACCTACACACACCTACACATACACACCCCCCGGCCCACACACACACACACACACACCACAGAAATGAACAAAGGGAACTCACCCAAGAAAAATAAATAGGATTCACAGAACTTAAAGAGAACTTTTTAAAGTCTATATTACTGTAGAAATAATTAAAGATATTTCATCCTTAAGACAAGGATATATATTTTTTAATGTTTATTTTTGAGAAAGAGAGAGACAGAGACAGAGCGTGAGTAGGGGAGGGGCAGAGAGAGAGGGGGACACAGAATCCGAAGCAGGCTCCAGGCTCCGAGCTGTCAGCACAGAGCCTGATGCGGGGCTCAAACTTACACACTGCAAAATCATGACCTGAGCCAAAGTTGGACGCTTAACTGACTGAGCCACCCAGGCACCCCAAGAATATCTTTTTTTTTTTTTCATTTGAGAGAGAGAGAGCATGCACATGCGATTGGTGGAAGTGGCAGAGGGACAGAGAGAGAGAATCTTAAGCAGGTTCCATGCTCAGCATGGAGCCCGATGCAGGGCTCGGTCCCACAACCCTGGGATCATGACCTGAGCCGAAATCAAGAGTCGGAGGCTCAACTGACTGAGCCACACCAGTGCCCCAACAAGAATATCATTTTATTTAAAAAATAAAGACAGAAAATCTGAAAGAGAAGAAGCAGCAATTAGAAACCGTTGGTAGAATTAAAAACAACACCACAAACTTTTGGTTAAAAGGCTGAAAGAAAAAATCAAAGATGGAGAGCCTGAGTGGCTCAGTCAGTTAAGCGTCTGACTTTGGCTCAGGTCATGATCTCTCGGTTCATGAGTTCAAGCCTCACGTCAGGCTCTGTGTTGACAACTGGATCCTGGAGCCTGCTTCAGATTCTGTGTCTCCCCCTGTCTCTGCTCCTCTCAGGCTCTGTCTCTGCCTCTTGACAATAAATAAATGTTAAAAAGATTTTTTAAAAAATCAAAGAAATCTCCCCGAATCGCCAGGAGGTCAGCCCCACCATCACTGAAGAAACAATGCCAACAGTGGCTTAGTGTCTGACTTCTAGTAATGAGAAAGCCAAACAAGAACAAACAAACAACACCCTGTTTATTTAAACCACCTGCTTTGTTATTTGTAGCTTAAAATATTCCTAGCTGATATAAGAATTAAAAATAAAGAATTCCCTGGGCCTTAGTTTTCTTTTTTTTAATTATTATTATTATTTTTTAAATCCGTTTGTTTTATGGTCAATGAGTTTAACATTTATTTATTGTTAGGAGACAGAGAAAGACGGAGCACTGGGAGAGGCAGAGAGAGGGAGAGACATAACCTGAAGCAGGCTCCAGGATCTGAGCTGTCAGCACAGAGCCTGATGTGGGGCTCAAACCCATGAACCTCAAGATCATGACCTGAGCCAAAGTCAGATGCATAACCGACCGAGCCACCCAAGTACCCTTCCTTTTTTTTTTTTTTTTTTTTTAATGAAGAGATTGGACAAGGTATAAAGTAAATAAATATCATTGAGCCAAATGAATGTCTCTTTCAGATCCTATATTCTGTTAGGGGCGGGCTGCAGATCCAATCTCTGCAGAATGTTAAAATTTGTATGACACAATCATTTGGGGGACTTAATCATTCACACTAGAAGACAAAATAAGTAGTTTACTCATCTGTTCAACAACTATTTATTGAGCACCTACTATATGCCAACTATATATTGAGCACCTCTGCTGGGTGCTAGGGCTATGGCAGTGAATATTCATAGTTAGTGTTCCCGTGGAGCTTATAGTGCGGTGACAAACACAGACATTATCAAACAAATAGCTAATTGACTATAATTGCCGCAAGGACCACCAAGGAAAGGTGTAGAGTACCTCTTGAGCATATATCTGCTCCAGCATACCTCTAATAGGGGTATCAGATCTTGGTGGGTCTTTCCTCCAGGATGGAACAAAAACTTTGATGTAGGCGTGTCCTCTGTCCCTGAACCAGTCCACAGCCAGCTGGATTCCCCGGCAAGAGAAGGCTTCTTTATTTCCATGGCTACGATGGGAAAACAAAGAAATCTGTAGAGTCACGGAAAAGGTTTCTGAAGAGTGATTTCCCCTGGGAATATCCTGAATCACAGGCTCATAATCAAAGGGAGTCAGGCAAATCTGCATTTGAAAAATAGTTCATTCTCGGCAAAAAATGGATCCTTTAACTGGCACCATGCGGCTTGCGATAGTATGTGTATAGAGGGTCTTGGGGTCCTGGGGAAGTGCACCCCAAGGATTAGTAGACACGATCCCCTTTTTCCCTGCAGCTGTAAGGATCAACAGAAGACGGAGGAGAGTAGCCATCTGCAGAATACTCTTACCCTAAGAGAGGGCTGTGTATGTGTTATGGGGCTTCCCGAGGAAGGAGGCCAAGGTGCTCCAGAAATTCCACTGAAGCATCAGGAAGTAGAGAGCAGGGGAGAGAAGGCCCAAGACCAGGCAGGGCCTGGCGTGCCTTACTGAAGACTCTTTTTTTTTTTTTCTTTTTAATTTAATTTAATTTATTTGAGAGAGAGAGTGCAAGCAGGGGAGGGGCAGAGAGAAAGGCAGAGAGAGAGAATCCCAAACCGGCTCCTCACTGTCAGTGTGGAACCCGGTGTGGGGCTGGAACCCACAAACTGTGAGATCATGACCTGAGCCAAAACCAAGGGTCTGAGGCTTAACCAACTGAGCCACCCAGGTGGCCCAAACTCTTCTCCTAAAAGGAATGAGAAGCCATAGCAGGATTTGAAGATGGGGGGTATATGTGCTGTGCTATGATACGATCCAATGTATGTTTCTAAAAGCTCAATCTGGCAACGCAGAGGACAGTAAATTGGAAGGGAGCAAGGTGGGGGTGAGATATCCAGTTAAGAAGCTGTCACTGTCATCAAAGCAAAACTGGATGGTGACTGGGACCGAGTGGGTGGTGGTGGATAAGGGAGAAGGGTAGGTGAACCTGAGAGATGTCTGGAAGGGAGAATCTCCAGAATGTGGTGATTGGTTGGATCCTGGGCGATAGTGAAGAAGGCATTGAGGAGGCTTCCAGATCTCTGGCTTGTGTAGCTGGTGGGCTCCTCCTTCAGACGGGGAGTCCTGGGGAGGACAGGGTGTAGAGGGAAAGACCGCGGGTTTTGTCATGGACACATACTGAGTTGGAGGAGCCCCTGTAGGTGGACATGCTGAGTTCCAGAAGACAGTTCTGGGTGACAAAACGTGTAGGGCATCTGTGCTTACACAGCACTGGAAGCCAGAGAATTGTCTGATTGCCGAGAGGGAGTGAGGGGCCCGGGAGAAGGGTCTGGGGGAGCTCTGGAACTTAGAGCTGGTTTCGGCAGGGGTGGGGCAATCTCACAGGAGAGACGGAAAGGATCTCTCAGGCCAATAGGAAGCAAACCAGGAGTGCCACGCTGTGGAAGCCATGGGAAGGAGGCATCCGGGTGCTGCTCGAGGAACCCACGAAGCCTGAAAACATCCCTGAGGACGAGTCTGTGCAGGTCAGTGGTGTTTGGCCGGCGAAGGAGACGAGCGGATAGACGAGATCATGAGATCGCAGAATCAGTCGGACTTCGCCCCGGGTGCAATATAGCCTGGCCTCTGCTTCCAGCCCAGCCACCCGCGCGGCCTGCAGCACTTTGTCCTGGCCAGCCACCTTCCCCGCTCCCACCGCAGGACCTTTGAACCAGCTGTTTCTTCTCCTCTCAGCCCGGTCCACGACTCCTTCTCCTGCGGATCTCAGCTTCATCTCTACTTCCTCAGGAAAGCATCCCTGCCCTCTGGTCCCCCCTCCGATTCCCCTATTACGAGTCCTCACGGCACATGCTGCTTCTGCCTGGCCCTAATCTCAGCCAAATGATTACACACACCTATAGGATGAACAGGTCTCCCCCTCTTTATCTCACAAGCTCCTTTTGCTCTCCATTGAATTCCCAGCACCCACATGGCGCCTGATCATCGGTAAGGGGACAGTAAAAATGTGTCGAATGCATGAAGGGCTGAGAAGACACAGGTCCTGTGAGCCACCGGAGGGGGAACAGCCCAGGCAAGGGGGAAGAACCGGGTGGAAAGACAACGCGAAAGGCTCACTGTGTCTAGGGACCAAAGAGACAGCAGAGTGACTGGGGCAGGGAGAGGGAGCAAAGGGGAGAGTTGAGAGTTCACAGAGAGCCCAGGGCACCATGACAGCCTCTGTTGAGAAGCCTGGCCCGCAGCAGCCAGCCCACCGCCCACGTCCAGACAAGGACGACACTAAATTTCCATGCTGTGCTTTCTCTTGTGTGTGTGGCCTCTCCTGCTATTTTCTCAGAGGGGATCAGGATAGGCCCAGGTTTGTAAAGAGAAGGCAGGCTTTGGAAACACCAGTCAATAGTCTTGAAAGTCAGGCTTTGTGGACATACACGAGAACTCTAAATTGCTCTGACTCCAGTAACGTATCGGGAACCAGGCCTTGAGTTCTACACCCGTAGTGTCTTCCAGTTTAGAGAAAATAGTCCTTGGGCCCCTGAGGCCAAGCTGTGAGGGTTATGCAAACAGTAAGGAGAAAATATCAATGTCTGTGGTGCAAAGAAAGGAAGTGGAACCAGTCCCTCTGCCCCAGAGGAAGATGAAGAAAGAAAGGAGAGGGAGGGAGAAAGAGGAGGGCGTTCACAGGGTCCTTGCCCATGCATCCCCCACCCCTGCTTCACCCACCAGCCAGAAGGGGAGGAGAAAGTATAGAAACATCAGGATGGGTGTGAAGAGGAGGCCAAAGGTCGGTCTCCCAGCACAGTGTTGGCAGGTCACAAGGCTCTTGGAGATCCTGGGTTCAGCAGGGCACAGAGTCCACAGAGCTGCACGGCTGCCTCGGAGGAAGGGGGCAGATAGGTGAGCTAGAAGCATCACCTTGGATCCCTCGCATGCCCCCAGGCCCAGGAGACTGTCGGAGGCCTAAGGAGGGACAAAGAGGCCCCTGTGAGGGGGGCAGGGCTGTAAGCCAGCATGGATCCCAAAAAGACCAATGATCCTCCTACGTTGACCATTCTGGAAGCTAAGCCAGGTCAGACCAGCTGCTCCATAGCAGAGCCCCGTGAGGGTCCCAGACCCCCCTCTCCCAGCCAACATCAGGTCTCAAAGCCCCCAGATGCCGTTTGGGAGAGGAGCGGGGGAGAGAGAGGAAACATGAACCCCAAGTCATCCAGAAGGCAGGAGACACCAAGACATCACACACTGGTAAGTTTAGGTTTGCCGCTCGCCGCGACCTGAACAAGTAGGGAAGAGACTGTATCTGTCTGAGAAAATAAGGTCTATTTTCTGCGCACACTGGAGCAGGAATATGAACAACTGATGATACCCCACCCCACCCCCACTCCCAAACATGCCTCTGTCAGCGGTGACAAGTCTGTCCTCCGTTCTCAAGCAAACATCTCACCACCACCCTTCTTTTAAAAATGGCTTCTTGGGGAGCCTGGTTAAGCCTCTGATTCTCGATTTCGGCTCAGGTCATGATCTCACAGTTCATGGGTTTGAGCCCCGTGTTGGGCTCTACATTGACAGCTCAAAGCCTGCTTGGTATTCTCTCTCTGCTCCCAACCCCACTTATACTGTAAACAAACAAACAAACAAACAAACTTAAAAAAAAATGGTTTCTTGAGTGCTCTCTTTCCTGTGACCACACATCTGTTTCTGTGACTACACACCTTTGCTGGGTGTGTGGGTGGAGGGAGCATGTTCGGTGATGAGGCTGAACCCGATTCCTCCGAGGAGGCAAAGGCGAGCAGGACCACAGGTTCTGGTGACGATGGTCAGGACCACAGCCTGAAGTGGCCCTGGCTGGGGGCTTGTAGAGGGGAAGGGGTTGGCAGTTCAGCAGTTCAGGAAGAGAAAAACTGAGGAATGGTGCTACCGTGAGCTTCATGCAGCAAAATCCAGTCCCCTGGCCTCTCTGACCCCAGACTCCAAGATGGCAGCCCCTCAGCCAAGAGTTTCCAAAGGGCACTAAATACGATTAAGACCAGAAGAAGCTGGAACAAACATACATCGGCCCATAGCCCTCCTTCCCTCCCTAAGCAGTGCTCTCCTCTCCAGCTTTGACTCCAGGCAAGGGAAGTCAGGGGCTGACCCCTAGAATCACTAAACTGATGTCTCTGGAATGGAGGGTTTTCATTCAGGTCTATTGTTTTGCAGGACCGGATTCCCACACGCTCCACCCCAACCTCTCTTCTGAGCCTTCTGGTCTCTTTTGAGATGTGAGGATTGTTACCGTTCGATCCTTGCCACATTTTTTTTTTTTTTTTTTTTTTTACCAAACTTTGAGGTTGGTAAAAACCTCATAACCCCATTATGGCTGCCATATTTCTGACCACAGAGAGCCCTGGGCCATGGCAGGATTGAAGCCACACTCAGGGACCACCTTCTCACCACGGAGGGGTCTGTCCCTAGTTGTTTGCAGAGCTCCCAGTCAGGCAAGAAAGCACTCGCGGTCACCCTGGGTCCACACCCCTCGGCACACAGAGGTAAATGCATAAGCCCAAAGCATTTATTTATCTGTGCATCCCTCCACTTAATGTCAATTTATGAACATCTTCAGTGAGGCTCTGTGCTGGGTCCTCAGAGACATACCTTGTTCCTGCTTCTTGGAGCTCATTTTTAATATTTGTAGAGTCCCGTGTCCCAGGCCTCTTTGCACTTTGCGCTTCAATCATTGGAACGAGCCCCCGAGGAAGTGACCTTCTTCTGACCGCACCCTTGAGGAAACTAAAGCGAAGACAGGTGCCCACCTGGCTGGTCCAGGGGCAGATCTCAGAGCCTGATCTGTTGGGTTGCAAACTCTTCCTCCCCCATCTCTTATTCCATTTATTCCTGCCCCTCCCCGGTCTCTCCCCTGACACCCAGACAGGTTAAGTCGTCTGCTGTTAAAATGCTGGAGTTTGGGGAGGGCCCTTAGGGCTTCTTAACAGTCACTGTGAACCAGCTCATCACCGAGAGCTGAGAGCCAGGCCCTGGGAAAAGGAGACAGAAGCGGTAGGTTTTGGATAAAGGGAGGGTGGTAAGGGGAAGTGGGTTGGTGCCCGAGGCAAACTTGGCCTGCGGGACAATTACGCCTGGGGCGCCCACAGTCAGCATGGCCATTTGCAGCAAGTGGACCAAGTACATTGAGTGGACCATCACTCTATCGTTGACTATCGCCCAGGAGGTGTCTGCAGAAGTTAGCGACCTGCAGAACGGTGCCCGGGCGAGCAAGGTGGTGCTTGTGGTGGGGGGAGGAAAGGAAAAGATGCTTCCTTCAGGGCAGGAGGTGCAAAGCACACCCCTCTTTCCACTCTGTTTCTTTTTGGGGGTTACATTGCAAATACTCGGAGTTTTATCCCTTTCTTTCACCAAGAGATCTCTCCCCAGCTCAGGGCAGGGGGGAGAAAGAGAAGGTGTGCCTTCATCGAAGACAGGGAGAAACAGGTGCAGACCGAGGTAGGAGCCCAAAGCCAGCATTGGCCAGAGTCCACTCAGGGACTCAGGAGGAGGTTTGACCCCCAGCCCAGGAGTGCCTCCTCCACGAACAGCCCACTGAAGGGGGCTGATGAGACGCCCCCGCCCCACTGCAGGCCTGAGCTCCTGTCACTGAAGGTTGGTTACTCCAGAATAAGCCAGATTCCGTTGAAGTTTCTGAGAGCTTAGAAATGTAAATGACGACCCAGACAAAAGGCCCTCGCATGCCAACTTGGGGACTCGTTTAAGTAAAACCCTTGTCTGGGCAACAAGAGGATGTGAAATTATCAGGTGGTTTTCCCCCAAGCTGAAGTCCTTCCAAATCATTCTTTTCCTAAATTTGCCTACAGAACGCACCACGCAGTGGGCTCCTGAGAGTTTGTCGGGCAGGCAAATACGGACACGTGTGCCGTGAAAGCCACCTTCTTTGTCAAACCTGCCAGATGCTTTTAGCTCTTTCTTGAGCTCACACCCTCCTCTCTCATGTACACACACGGGAGCACACGCACAGGCACGCCCACACCCTTTGAAGGTGCAGGGCTTGTGCTTGGAAATCACTCTGTGGGCGGCCAGCCCACCAGAGTCACCTTTCCATGCACATGTGATGCCCGGTGGGGGCGGCGGGGAGGGGGGGTTTCCAGAAGGCTGGCAGCAGCAGAAAAGTCATCCTGGGGACCAGTCCTACAGAGAGCACCTGGTGAGGGGGTCCAGCACATCCTGTGTGCAGCAGGCAAGTCGGGGCCCATCCCACCTGGGAAGGGCTCTGGTCAGCACAGGCAGGCTCTGACCCCAGAATAAAATCCATGGGGTCAGGGGCTCCCACCCTGAGACACTTTGGAAGACTGGGCAGTGGGAAAACCAAAGATGCACGGTGCTAGAAGAAGTACAGGGCTTTGGAAAGAGCTCTGAAAGCAGAGCCTGGCATTCATTGCTCTGTGACCTGGGGCAAGTTACTTACTCTCTCGGAACCTCTGCAGAAGAAGAGAAATTCCTTTCTCAGAAAAATGCATTTATTTCTTTCATGCATGCATAAAATAATCACCTCGAATCCTAGAATGTTACAGATGGAAAGCCACTTAAGATCATTGTTGTTTAGTCCAACCTCTTCATCGTATAAACAAGGGCTCAAAAACATCACGTGACTCACTCTGAGGTCACACAGCTAGGGTACCGTCCAATACCTAGGCGCTCATCGCATGTGGCCGTTTACATTTAACTTCAAATTAATTCAAAAGACACAAAATGTAAAATTCAGTTCCTTGGTCACAATAGCCACACTTCAAGTGCTCAGTAGCCCCATGTGTCAAGTGGCCATCGCTAATGGGCAGATAGGTCTAGAACTTTCCATCATCGAAGGGAGGTTTTGGTGGGCAGCTCCCAGCTAGAGGTCAGGACTCAGATCTTTGGACTCTCCCGGTGGCTCCTCAGGGCAGCACGGACATGAGCTCCAATCTGCCTTCTAAGTCCTTCCCTACCTCATGCAGCATCAGACAGCATACGAAGCAATATCTTCTTCCAAAACAGAGCGTAGCAAAGTCTGCGATACTACAAAACCTCAGAAAGGAAAATTTTCAGAAACCACGTTTCTGAGGTTAACTGAGTTTTGAGGTCAACTGATAATAACTAGACACCATGTTGGTTTCAACCACCCATTGTGTCTAAAGGGCGAGCCCCACACTTAAATCTCTCCTGCACAACTGAGATCTGGCAGAGCCCGAGGGTCATGGGTCCTCTTGACACTCTGGTCGGAGGACACAGGCGGTGTCACTGTGGGAGAAGGAGCCAGGGGATGAGGGAGAGCCTCACACCCCAACCGTCTCCCAGACTGGCCACTGAGAAAATCAGGTCCCACCCACCACGTGGTGGTTGAACAATGGGTCTTTTGTCCCTGACTCGGGATGCAGGGGCGGGGGAAGGACGGGATGTGTGTGTGTGTGTGTGTGTGTGTGTGTGTGTGTGCACATACAGGTACACACACTGAGACCTCACACAGGCACACGTGCTCTTGTTAACTGAGATGACGTACGGGCAGCAAGTGTGTGAAAGAACGCATCGGTGTTCTGACACATTCTTCATAATAAGCCTGAGTGATGCCTTCTACTTGTCCCCCACACAGACTGAGCACGAGGGGATTAAACTGGTTACAGTTGTGGGGGAGGGGGGACCAAATGGGTTTACCTGGGACACATCATGGTCACACGCAAGTGGAAGGTGTGGTTTGAGTTTGAATTCCAAGCAGCAACAGAGATTTTCAGCAAAATAAAATCCTCCAACACCACCCTATCAAAACAATTCCTAAAAACTCTCTGGTCCCCAACAGAGCATGCCCACACTTCCCTGTAGCAGGTGAAGTAGTCAGTCCTTCCAGCCCAGAGCCATTTGGCTCTTTTGATCTGGGATCACAGAGCTGGTACAATCTTAGGGCTGGAAAGGTCTTCAATTTAAGCAATACCCTTTTAACTTTAGAGCCTCCTTTCTATGGATGCCCAGAAGGAGAGGTGGCTTGTGCTGATCAGACAGAGGCCAGGCCCCCCTCACAACCCTCACACACCCTCAGAACCTACCAGATCCTTTTTTTGTTGTTTTTAATTTTTTAATGTTTATTTTTGAGAGAGAGAGCATGTGAGTAGAGGAAGGGAGGAGAGAGAGGGAGACACAGAATCCAAAGCAGGCTCCAGGCTCTGAGCTGTCAGTCCAGAGCCCGATGCGGGGCTTGAACTCACGAACTGTGAGATCATGACCTGAACTCAAGTCGGACACTTAGCCGACTGAGCCACCCAGGTGCCCCAGAACCTACCAGATTCTTTTTTCTTTTTTTCAACGTTTTTTTTAATTTATTTTTGGGACAGAGAGAGACAGAGCATGAACGGGGAAGGGCAGAGAGAGAGGGAGACACAGAATGGGAAGCAGGCTCCAGGCTCTTAGCCGTCAGCCCAGAGCCCGACGCGGGGCTCGAACTCACGGACCGCGAGATCGTGACCTGGCTGAAGTCGGACGCTTAACCGACTGCGCCACCCAGGCGCCCCATAGAACCTACCAGATTCTTAAACATCCTTTCAACTTCCCCCTGAAATCTCGAATTAAGCAGGATTTCATAGTCTGGCCTCTCTGGTGCCTACATGGGAGCATGTGTGTGGATGTTACAGAGGCCTGAGGACCAGCCCAGGGTGACCCAGCTGGCTAAAACTTGAACAAACACCACACAAAGCACAAAGGCACAGCGCCCAGGGCTGGGCCAGCCTGGGTAGCATCATTCCAAACCTCCGTCCTACACTGCCAAGTCCAAAGTGAGTCCAAATCCCCAGGGAAAGCCACTGGCCCTGTCAGCCAAAGGACAGACACCCTCTGGACACATTTAGCACTGCGGAGAACACTCCTCTCCTCAGTCCCCACCCATGGCTCAGCTTTTGAAAGGGGAAGTGCGTCTATTTACAGCCTCGAGTGGCCAGTTTCCTATGGATCTGCCCTTTGCCTGCCTGTAACTGAGGCAAGAAGTAGAAAACTGCACTTGTGTGCACAAAGCCTCCTCCTGGCCTCTCGCGGAGTGTGGATGAGACGCTAAGATTGGCTTGCAGCTGAATGGAGCCGCGCAGGAAACGTGACAAGCCAGGGCACGGCCCTCCCATCACCGACGCACACAAAGATGCCAATACACAAACAGTGACAATCGTGTCTACGGCTCAGGGGCCGTGAGCACACGTCTCCAGCCTGGCTAGGGAGCCACACCACCGCCAGCCACCCCGCAGCAGCTCTCCCCTTCCACCCCACCCCCCAAAAGAGGGTTTCTAGCTCAAGCACATTTCCCCTCTGATTCTCATTACCTTTAGAGAAGTAGCAAAGCTATCTATTAGCCCGTGTCACAGAAGAGGAAACTTGAGATGCTATGGCTTTCTGAGTCACGCAGCTGGTTAGGGACAGGCTCTAGACGAGAAGCCACATCTGCCGAGGCCCGGTGCTAGGCTCCTCCCCACTCATCTACTGCCTTTCTCAGAAAAGAGCCTCTCTCTGGGTCGATATGATAATAGCTACCACTTGTTGAACACTTACTCTGCGTCAGGCACTGTCCTAGGCATTTTGTGCAGCTCCAGTTCTCACAACTGCCTTCTAGGGAGGTTTTATACCAATTCTACAGATGGAGAAAGTGAGGCTCAGAGAGGTTAAGTGACTTACTTAAGGCCACACAGCTATGAAAGGGATGGAATGGGGATTAAAGGTCCATCCATTAGCCCCCAAACCACTCTTTGGACAAAACCACCGAAAAGAGGGACAGTGCTCCCACCCCGAGGCTCCAGGACGAAGAAAACTACCTCATTGCCACGTTGCTGCCGTCGATCACTATGGGTCGCAAGGAACTGGCTGGGTCTCCACGCTCTTCTTCCAGCTCTGCCGCCAGCCCGCAGTGGGCAGAGTCCAGGGCCCCGCAGGAGCCCCTGGGAACGAGCAGGGGCACAGCACTGCTCTCGTGGGCCCCAGGGCGGCTGCCAGTCTGGATCAGCTCCTGCAGCACGTCGTTGACCAGGGCGTCCTCACCCAGCTTGCCCAGCACCCTGACCACATCATCCCGGCTGTAGCCCAGCTTCTGGAAGAACTCCATCTTGCTTGAGCGCTCCATGCCGTGCCAGCTGGGGCCCTGCTGAAGGTCCTGCCCCCAGTTTCCTTCTGGCAGAGCCACGCTGGCATGAGCTAAAGAGAAAAAGCATCCATCAGGTGTTTTCTGAGCGGCCCGGGCCTGGAGGCTGTCAGGTCACTGAGGGCAAATTATGCGTGCTCCCTCCCCGCCTTATCTGTCAGGAAATCATGTTGCCTGGTCCCCTTGGGGATTTTCAGTTGCTCAGTGTGGTCGGGGAGCCACAGATGCAATCATGCTGCTTTTACTCGTGCACTTTCTGAGGCCTTCTCCCCACCCAGGTGCCCCCGCAAGGATCCACTGGCCAGAGGAGCCAAGGGCCGCTGAGCAAACCACCCAGCACTCGAACATTTGCACACAGGCCAGAGACGTGTTTCCGAGGCTCGAGCATGGGCTGGGTTGGGCCCCCCCCCCCCAATTCATTCGTTGAGGCCCAACTCCCGGTACCTCAGAACGTGACTGCCTTTGTAGAAAGGGTCTTTAAAGAGTTGATTGGGTGGAAATGAGCTCCTTAGGGTGATTCCTGGCCAATATGACTAGTGTCCTTATAAGAAGAGGACATTTGGACACAGATAGGAACAGAGGAAAGACCATGTGAAGGCACAGGGAAAAGATGACCGTCTACAAGCTAGAGAGAGAGGCCTCGGAAGAAATCAACCCAGCCAACACCTTCATCTCGGGCTGCTAGGCACGGAACTATGAGGCAATAACACCAAGAATAGGTAAAATATTACATGTATGATATTATATGTCATACATACCACCCCTGTGGTATTGTGTTATAGCAGGACCCGAAAATTAATATAGCTCCTCAGCTTAAAGAGGGGAAAGGGCTGCCTGGTCAATTCCATTCCCAGGAAAGCAATGCTCTGGCCCATATTCGGCTCTGTGCTGTGGCACAGCTTTCCCCAGCAATGAATTCAGATGATAGTGAACCTGTAAAGTAGAAGGTCCTAACCCACATTTTCCAGCCAGCATCACCGTCTGGCCTGTACCGCGGGAGTGGTGGGGAGGTGGGGGTTCAGTCTGACCCGCGCTTACAAAAAGAAGACTGAATCAACACGAACCCTCTGGACAGACCGGGTCCCTCTCTCTTTTCTACTCACAGACACCAACAGCTTTCAAAAATCATTTGAAAATACAGAAATCATCATGCAAATATATTTCGTGTGGAAAAAAATGCAACAATGTCAAAGCGTAAAGAATAACAAGAGAGGGGCGCCTGGGCGGCTCAGTCGGTTAAGTGTCCGACTCTTGGTTTCCGCTCAGGTCGTGATCTCATGGTTCATGAGTTCAAGCCTCGCATCAGGCTCTGTGCTGACAACGTGGAGCCTGCTTAGTCCTCTCTCTCTCCTTCTCTCTGCCCCTTCTCTGTTCATGCTCTCTCTCTCTCAAAATAAATAAATAAGCTTTTTTTAAAAA